GCGCGAGTGGCCAAGGAAAACAAGCAAGAGGGCTTTCCTAAAATCCAGGGGCACTTTTTTTCCCGTGTGAGCAACAGTCGGCAAACAGTCTGGCTACATTCAGGAAAAGTTCTCTCCGTTAACCAGCCCACCCTTATTTGTTTCTTCCGCTTTGGGAATTCACCAGACTTGGCTCATTTTGAAGAGATTCCCAATAGTTACTTCTTAGACCCCAGAACAGAAAAAGGAAGCTTCAAGATAAGGGGCTGCCAAACAGGAAGCAAAAAACACATTAAGACCGTGCATATCCAAATCATCCGGGAGGCTCAAGAAGGGGAAGCAGTGGAATTACAGAATCCTCTAGAATCAGAGGAGAAAAAGAGGACAAATTCATATATACATACTTGTGTTCCTTCTTCAGCAGCTATTTTCTTTCTTTTGTTAAAAACCATTCACTTTCCATGTGTGCAATTCCAAAACACCGGCTCATCCTGAATATTCCTTGTGTTTGCCCGGCACAGTTGCAGATGGGGTCTCTAGCCTTCCAGGTCCAAAGAAAGGGTGTCGTGATTAACTGCCGCAAAAGTTTAGTCAAAATTCTGGTATCTATAGCCAAGCACCAACCATGGGGTCTTCCTGATATTATCTCCAGATTAAGTGGCCCTGAGTCAATATTCCTCCAAGTGTAGTAGGGTTTGGTCATCTGTATCAGAACCACATGATATATTAATTTAAGGTGCAAATTCCTGCCTCTCCCCTCGACCTATTGAGTCAGTCTCTGAGTGTTGGACCTGAAGACATGCATTTGAAATGACTTGCCCAGGTGATTCTTCTTCACACTAAAGTCTGAGAATCCCACTCTTCTCTCCCTCGGTGTGGAGGAGCAGACTGACATAGGGCTCAGAGATCCCACCCAACCCAGAGGTTCTAAGATGCCTACGAATCCCAGTGAGTGAGCATGCCTTTCTGGGAAATAGATTTAGAGGGAACTGGACCAATTTTCCATCAAATATACTTATGTTTTAGTCAAATAAGTATTGCCACTCCACACTGTGATGATACACTGGTATTGATTTTCTTTCACAGTTTTGGGTATGCAAGAAATATCTTGTTTGTATTCTGCAAGTAGGATCAAAGCTTTATTGAGATTTTCTCTACCTAAGACTCCACAAAGGTAATTTTGTTGTTAGCAGAGCAGATTTTTTTTTTTTTTTTAGAGGGGGAGAGTACCAAGGCTTTCAAAAATAAGCACTCAGAGGTAAAGTTAGACTTCCCAGAGGTACAGGAATGGAGAGCCTCAGGAAGGAGCAGGCCACTGTCCATGTTTCCCAGTTTCATTCGGCAGTGAGGAACCAAATGTAAATTCATGCCTCGATGATGCTCCTGCCACATGCAGTTGTGACCAGTGCTACTTTCCACTGGACCCAATTATCTCCTGTCCACAGGGTGGCCTTGGCCAAAATTCTAACATTTGTCCCCAACATCCTCTTTCAGGCTCTTTCTCACTCCCTCCCTTCCCCACAAAGGTAAGAATGAGTGGCCTGTGCACAGAAGAAAAAGTGGTTAAAGTTTTCAGTGCCCAATTAAAGGGTGTGGCAGAGATGACAAGGGATTTCCAGGAAAAAGGATGATAAAGCTGGGAAGTGTGGTGCCTCAGAGACAAAACAGCCTCGGTGGTGCAGCCTGGGGTGTGCCAGTGTTTGCACCTTCTGCTTTCCTTTCCTCAGTCTAGTCCACATAAGGGTTGCCTCCCTGAAGATGGAGATTGTCAGGAGGGTCCATATAAGGCCAGGGTTGAAAACTGAGCAGTCCAGGGACAGCCTCGAGGCGCCTCTAATCAGCCTGTTTCTTGGGAAAATTTTGGATTATTTGGAAGAAGGGGGATAATATACAGCATCCCCAGGTATATTCAAATCTCACCTAATTTCCTCTTCAACTCACTCTCTGCCTCCTGCCCCCAACAAGTGAGTATTCCTCATCTGACCCTGACAGGAAAACGCAGGCAAAGAAGCCACAGTCCGGCTGTAATCCCACTCCTGCCCCTTGCTGTCCTCGAGCCTCTCCAGGAGGCAAGCAGGACCTAAGGCCTCTTCATCAGCCCATGTGCCTGATGTGCAGTCCCAAGCTCAGGGGCAGGAATACAGAAACTATTCTGGTAGAACGTGGGATAATTGTGAGGGTGAGTGGGTTTGGAATAAGCCTCTGCTTAAAACATGTATACTCGTGTGTGTGTGTGTCGCACGCATTACCTTTACTCACCAATCCCTTCTATTCTTTGTTTCTTTTATCCTTTCTTCTGGTATGGGTTCTCTCCCTGAAACTTTAGGATAATTATTCTGCCCTTTTGCCTTAGAGAGAATTTGCTTTTGAATCAGGAGCTCCTGGAAAGCCCGGCTTAGGGGTCAATGTCATCTGCGAGGCATAGCTCAGCCTGCCTTACTTGTTTCCTTCACCTGCTTCCTCCCTCTAAGCTGTGGACCCAGGATCTGTTCTCACTGCATCCTCCCCCAATTGCTCACTCGCCCCAGGGCCCACTTCCTGCCCTCATCTCTCAGAATCCAGGACACAGCCCTTTCAGTGGAGAGCTATGGTCAAGGAGATCTCAGGAAGAAAGGGCAAGGGAGGACTGGAGACTTGAGCAGAGTGGGGAACCTCAGCATGGGGCATAACAACAGAAGAAATCATGGCACGGGGTAGCAGTTAAGGAGTGGGCTCTGGAGATCAGCTGCCTGGGTTCCAACCCCTTAGCTCTGTGCTTTTGGATGAGACAGGTAAAATCTCTGGGTTCCTCAATTTCCTCATCTGTAAAATGGGGATAAGAGTATCTATTTCATAGGTTCTTGTGAGGATTAAATAATTATATAGATAAATGTGCAAAATGTTCAGAACAGAGCCTGACACATAGTAAGCACTCAATAAATGTTAGAGATTATAATTGGGGGTGCAGGACACATATTCGTAAATGAAAGAGGGACTATATCACCATTGGGGCTATTTTTAGATATCTTTGAACTGAAAAGAAAGGGAAGAGACAAACTATAAGCTTAGTTATGAAAAATTTATAATAATAAATGTAGTTATCTAGTGCTCTTTATACCTAATTTTTATTTGCAAAATAATTATTAGGCACTTTATTAATATGTCAGATAAATTTTGTTTTAATATTTGGCTACAGTATACATTTGACCATTCTATTTTTTTTTTTTTTTTTAAAGATAACCAGTAGGGGGATCTTAACCCTTGACTTGGTGTTGTCAGCACCACGCTCAGCCAGTGAGCAAACCGGCCATCCCTATATAGGGATCTGAACCCGTGGCCTTGGTGTTATCAGCACCACGCTCTCCCAAATGAGCCACAGGTCAGCCAGACCATTCTATTTTTTAATGGCATATGATGTAGTCACAATTTATTAAAAATATAATTCTAGTATATACAGATTATGTATTAACCCAGCTTTACATCCTTCCCTAAAATCTAAGTAAACATCGTGTGAGTGATTAGTCTTCTACATTTATTGAGCAACGACAACCACATTTAGCTAAGTAATGTGAGATGAAGAATTAAACTCACATCAATCTCTAGATAATGTAAAAGAGTGGGAAGGGGGAGGATACAAATCCTCTGTTAAAGTTGGGCTTTTTGATAGGAGTTGAATTAAACTATTTAAGCAGGTTATTTTTTTAAAAATTAGCTGTATTCATTGGAATTTTTCTCTCTCTTTTTTTTTTTTTGGCTTAGGTCTTGATATCCTAGTGAACACAGAAAGAGACAATGCTAATAGGTAAAGAGAAAAATAATTTCTTTTTCACCACTCCTTCATGTCTGCCAAGAGAACATTTTTATATCTCCTATTTTAAAAAGCTGTAATCATACAATGTTAGCTTGACTTGAGCTCTTAATAGGGATAGTAAAATGATTCCCATTTACTTTTTTGGATTTTTTTGTGGCTGACCAATATGGGGATCTGTACATCCCCATTTACTGTCTCTGTCATTTAAATTAGACAAAATACATAGATGGGGATGAATATACAGTCACCCGTAAGAAATGCCAATATGAAGAGCAGGAATATAGTGTATTACATACATCCCCTTCAGGTGGATTTAGACACAGGTTTCTTTAAACTGTATTCTTTTTACTATAAAAGTAAAAAAAGGGCCACTGCAAAAATTGGAAAATGCTCAAAATAACAATAAAGGATACAAAAATTACCCCAAATTCTGCTACACAGAGATAGTCACTGTTAACATATTGGCACAATTTTTATTTTTTGCACATTCACAAATTTGAAATTTTTAAGCAAAATTTTGGTCAATTAAATATAAGTATATATAGTTTTTATCTTTATTTTGTTCACTGAACCAACCATGGATATTTTCCAGACATGAACATCTATTATTCATTTTTTAAAGAAACAAGACATTATTTCAAACATTTGAATGGAAGATATTATTTTTCGTAATTTAGCCATAACTGATGTGCAAGATCTGAGGATTAACGTCTCCCCTGTGATTCACTCCCCTGTGAGACAGAGCATGTTAAAATGGGTTGAGTTGGTAGGGGAAAGAGAAAGAAAAAGTGAGCGTTGATCCATTATTGACAGCTATGGATGAAAACAGAGAGTAATTAGCCATGGATGTCAAAACTATTCTTAGTTTGCTTATGTTTATGAAAGTTTGATTACTACCACAATTACATGAGATACTGCTAATAAGCAAAGCCTCAAAACTTTTTGAAGACATAAGCTTTATGTTTTTAGAGTTAAAAATCATGTATTTGCAACATGTTAATAAAATTGCATGTAAAATACAAAAGGATGGACAAAGGAAAATCAACTTTGAGGGATAGAGTTTTCTGACATCACTGTAATTTTTGGAGTTATGGATATTCCCGGGAAACTTTTTAGATGCTGTCGGGGTTTTCCTCTTTACTGGATTTAGCAATATCCTCCTGTTAGTCACAGGAAGCGATCCCTCCTATAAAGGGGCCTGGCAGAAGCAGTGTTTAGTTGCTGTTGGCTGAATTCACATTGGAACTGCTAGACAGGCAGGAGACAGAGCAGTGGCGGTACACGATACACCCAAGGAATCTGACGTCCAAACAGCTGCATCACAGGACGGTGAGCTCAGAATTCTTTACATGAGCAGCCTTGGGCCATGAAACAGATTTATCAGTATGGACAGATATGCAAAACAAAGCTTTCTGATTAAAAAAAAAATCTGTGGGAGCTCTTATTGTACTGTATTTAAAACCATTTTTTCTCTTTGACCTAAATGATGAAAATCTTAAATTTTGTATTTATTTATTCATTCAAGTCAACTTTTTCTTTCTTTCTTTCTTTCTTTCTTTCTTTCTTTCTTTCTTTTTTTTTTTTTTTTTTGCTTTCTTTGGTTTGTTAGGCAGCTGGCTGGCACAGGGATTGAACCCTGGACCATGGCATTATCGGCACCACACTCTAAGCAACTGAGCTAACCAGACAGCCGCAGCTTCTTTTAAATAAATAGAGATTCTGGCACTGGAATCCTTTACCTAAAATCTTATGATGCTGCCTTAAACATCATGGCAGAATGATGTGAGTAACTGGCTACCTAGGATTTCCTTCTATAATTAATTTTGTATTTTTTCTCTCTAGAAAACTATTTCAACTCTAATCCTTTGGTGAAAAGAACTGAAGTCATGATTACTTCACGGTTTCTCTCTGCTGTCACTTTTGGTAAGTCGGTGTTATTAGTAAGACCAGGGCTTCTCATTCTCACACTATTGATTGATCTATCAGACTAGAATATCCTTCCTTTTGGGGGCTGTCCTGTGCGTTGTAGGATGTTTTAGCAGCATCC